CCTAGATGATCCTTGAACCAAAGGACATGTGGTACATTTACACAATGAAGTTCTACTCAGCAGAAAAAACAATGACATTTTGAAATTTGCCGGAAATGGGTGAAACTAGAATAAGCCATCCTGAGTGAGGTAACCAAGACACAGTAGGTACACACTCATAAGTGGGTATTAGACATAGAGCAAAGGATAATCATTATTTCCCCTTTGTCACACAAATTCTTAAGCTGATCCAGATGGGAGGATTTTTTATTTGCTTCAAAGGCCCCTTGTATCTGCTCTCTCAGAGGCATTTTTGCAGCTGTAGCATCTGGGAGATGTCTCTTCCTCATACTGGATTTTTGTCTATTTTGATAACAACCACAATTTTTTCTCCTGTAGAAACATACGTGTAATCCCGATCCCATTATAACACCACCCTCATTCTCCCTGAAGAAGTCTTGGAAACCTTGTAGTACAGAGGTTGATTAAATTAGACAGTTATTACATGGTCCAATGTCTTTCAGCAGCTGTTGTCTCTGTTTCATTAACATTGAGAAACCTTAAAATCAATAAGGTATTCTGCAGTCTGTTTTTGGGGGTCCTCATATCCTCCTTTTGTTTTCCTTTAGAATGCCATTGTATCATTCCACAGTTTCTTGTCCTGTAGGACTATATGGTATCTCTTTTATGTGTTTTATGTTGCAATGTGCAAAAAATAGTTAATTTCACTGGAAACTTAAGCTGGGGTGTTATCAGTTTTAATATGTATGGGTAGACCAATTTCAGGCATTGTTTCTAATAAATGAGTAATTAGAGAATCAGCATTTTCAAAACTTAAGGCTTTAGTATGAAAAATAAAAGACCCATATTCTGATATTGGCATTCAAGCTTCAGACTGAAGGTAACAAAAGCAAAGCATCCAGCCACTAGCTCTTACCTGTATCTCAGGCTGAAAGGGTTCATTTACAAGCTCTTCTCCAAGCCTCATATCCTGCCACTCCTCAACATACCTCGAGAGGATCTATGGAGTGCCTGAGAATACTGACTGAGACAGTGGGCTTCTGTCTTACATATACCACTCTAGGGCTTGGATTAAATGCATGTGATCCCTGTTGCTGAGATCATCTTTGTATGAGATGTTTCTCTTTAAGTCTGGATCAATTTCAAGTAACTCAGTGTGTCCATGAACTAACAGAGATCTGCCCATCTCTACCTTCCAAGTGGTGGGATTAAAGGTGTGTACCACCAACACCTGATCACGATAGCTGAATTTTCTTTCTGAATATTCAGACAAGCTTTAATAAATCATAAATAACATATCACCACATAGGGAGATGCCCATTGAAACCCTGAATGTGTACCAATGGTTTGATGAACATATTTTAATTATCCAAATTTGGCTAAATGAAATACATTCATTTCCCAAATTTTATTCATTTGTGTACCTTTAGGATTACTTCCTGCCAGTGGGGGAACTTGATTATAAAAAGAAAAAGTAGGAAAAATATATATATAGCCTTAAAATATATATATTACCAAGCAATGAGAAACTTCTACTTAAAGTGTACACTATTACCATGGAGTTTCTTATGAAATTCAGAGGATTCTAACACATTTCCTGTCAGTAATTATTCTGTTTCCTCATTTCCTTTTGCTAACGGGCCAGGCAACAAAATATGAGATAAGATGTGGGTAATTCAAAGAGGGCAGTGCCTTTCTTGGTTTGACTGTGGTAGTTGTACAAATAATAATGTTAACTCTGAATTATCATGAGTAAGTTAAACAGTTTCTATATGTAATACAACCCTTAAAGAATCAGTAATTATATTAAGAATTTATTAAATTCTAGTAAAATCGTTAGAACAGTACACAACTCTCGGCACTGAGCAATCTTACTCATGCTCTCTGCTTTATAATCAGCCATTCCTAATTTATTTGCATTAGTGTAGAATGTAAGAGTTCAAGGAATTGGTGCTCTCTTTATCTGCAGGGAAAAATTCCCTTAGTTTATTTTATAACTTGTAGTCACTACTTTTTGCAAAATTGTTGATGTCCCCTAATAAATTACTACATGTTCTCTGCCAGTCATCATCAATTGCCCCAAACTGCACAAGTTCAGTATTAGCTTAGCGTGTTACAGTCTCACCTGGATCCATGGATGAAGTATTACACTTCCCTTTTTGAATAATTCAGAGACTTTATTCTATACAGTTATTTAACTTTTTATTCTGATTATGTGATAAAGATAGCCATTCTAAAACATTATCTTGCTGTTATTTAAGTAGTTCAGCAGGGGAATGCATACAAAGTAAAATTGCCAAAATACATATATTTGTGAGATCTAATCTATCCACATAGGCATTTTGTAACTTTTGTTCTACTTCAGCTTATTTTCTTTAAGCGTCAGTGGTTAATAGTCTTGGACTGTATTAATCTGAGTCACCTTTCAAAATTTGACACAAATTTCTTAATTCTTGAGTAGACAAACCCTCAGACAACTAATATCACCTAATAATTTTTGACAGTCATTATGAGTGTGAAAGTGTCCTCTCCTAATCTGTACCTTTTGCCTCTGATTCTTTGTTTACTCAGTTTATAACCTAAATGACTAAGAGAACCCATTCTTTGTGTTATTTTTTCAGAATAAATTTGAAATCCCTATCAGAGTAAAATTTACTGTACCACATTTAAGGTTTTTTTCCCTAAGGTATCTGTTTCAGAAGCAGCCAATAAAACATCATGAATATAATGATGAATAATAGACTGAGGAAATTATTTTTTGTATCACTTTCAGTAGTTGATTTAAGAAATATTTACATAACATTTGATATTTGCCAATGTTATATATTCCAATGAAATCTCCTTACTGGTTGAGCATTACATAGTAGAAGTGTAAAAGTAAATTTTTCTCTATTCTGTTCTTGCAAAGGAATGGTAAAGAAGCAGACTTATATATCAATAATTATAGCCGGGCGGTGGTGGCACACACCTTTAATCCCAGCACTCGGGAGGCAGAGGTAGGCGGATCTCTGTAAATTCGAGGCCGGGCTGGACCGATAGCCCCCGAAACAATACAGAGAAACCCTGTCTCGTAAAAACCAATATATAAAGGCCAATCTTTAGCTAATAAAGAAAGTAATAGAATTTTAGGCTTCAAAGAGTCCATAGATTGAATTATGTTATTTATCACTCTTATGTCTGTTAACATTCTCCATTTCCCTGATTTTTTATTCCAAACACAGCAGAATGACAAGGACTAGTAGTTTCCTCTATATGCTTAGCAGTTAAGTGTTCTTTTAATAATATTTCAAGTGCCTTATTTTTCTTTGGTTAAGGGCCATTACTCTACCCATAAACGCTTCCTACTTAGCCATGTTAAAGGTAGAGCAGTTAGGCTAATGTAAGTGGACTCTACTCAAAATTTGAAAAGCCAATTCTAGTTCTATCTTGCTTATGTACAACCTGCATAGCCTGTGACCCTCCATTAAAATCTTCACAATGCTCTTTCCAGGAATATATTCCATTTAATACATCAATACTAGCTGTTTCTGAAAATATATGCATGTTAAATAAGCTACCTGTTGATGTAACAAATCTCTTCCTCATAAATTCAGACACATAAGGCTTTATCATTTCTTTCTGTCACTGGGCTTTTCCTTTTAGCTCCTCTGGCATGCTGTGACACAACAAAAATCCTCATCAGAGGATGAGTAGGGGGAATTACCTGATGTTGTGCCTGTATCCTCCAAACTTGTCGGCTAAATTAACCAGATTTCACTATTTTGATAATGGGTCAACTATTGAGTTATACAAAAGTTAACTGATACATATAGAGGGAAGAATACATCTATGAATAAATATTTTTGTTGTCAGTTGTGAGTGTATTTTCACCTGGGTCCATGGAAAGAAGTACAGAGGCATCTCAAGGATGAAAGTTTAGCCTTTACCAGCTACAAGGCACCTTGGCCACTATAGACTAAACCACCCACACCGAACAAAGGATAGGATTATTGGCTCAAAAGTCAAAACATTAGCAAACAAATTCCATACAGCAAAGTCTTTGACTTAAGCCTACCAGAGGGATAAAGCCAAATGCAAATTATTAGTAACAATACCACAGTTTTTTTGGTTGTTGTCACTAAGTTTGCATAGGATTTGATCCCCTAGGAAACCTTTCACATAAGACATGAAACAGAGGTACAGAGGCAGGGGTAACAATCACACAAGGCAAATCAAGGCTAACTGCTAACATTCCAGTGTCAAACAGGCTATATTTGATGGAAATTCTTCCTTCACATCTCCATGAGTTCAATGTCATTCTTTTCCATAGAGTGAGTTCAAAAACATTGAGAGATAAATAGTGAGACCCTATATTTAAAAAAACCCCAATTTCAAAAGGTGATTCATACCCCTCTATGGAGCACCCATAGAACTCATGGGTTCAACAGCTCGATTTAGGAAGAATCTTGTCTTTGTTTCTGTCATTTATGTACCTTCTGTGGAAAGTAGCCATTTATTGGTCATGTATCCCCAAGAGAATTTCACACACAATATGCAAGTCATATACAGGTCAGGGTATGATGCTTGCCAAGAAAAGTTTCCTTCATCATGATGATTGTGGTCTGCATAAAGAGTAGTGGAGAAGCATGGAGAAGCTCTGAGAGAAAAAGGTGAGCCCTCAGCTGAAGGTGTTGTTTCAGGAGGGCAGCAGGATTGTTCTTGTCTCTTGGTCTGTGTTTCAAAGGACTATACAATCACATGTAGAAGAGCATGAGGGAGATACCATGCAAGAAGAGACCACAATCAGATATGGGTTGCAATGCATGCACACAAGCTGACTGAGAAAGGGGAGGAGACTGAGATCTTCCTGAGGTTCATGAGGGTTTGTGTCAGAAACCAAAATTCAAAGAACTCCATAGAAACATATACCACATGTATTAGAGCCCCACCCTTTACACCACTGGGAATCAAACACCACTTGCTCAGAAAGAGAAGTTCCTTTTTGCAAGACCTTCCTTTATAATACACACATGAGAAGGAGACACCAGACTGCAAGGCCATATACTATTTGTATGCTCATTTGGCAAGGGGACCAGCCAGCTACAAACTTTTGGCAACTGGAAGATGCCATGATCCGCATCTTCACAGTACTGCTTTGTCTTGGTGAGAAATTGACTGTGGGAGAGAGAATTCTGCTTTAATAAGGAGTTCACCACATAGCTAAGCATTGGCCCATCAGGGTATTTCAGTAGCTCAGAAAAGATCTGGAAATGGAGGTCCTGCTCAGGCTTCAAGTGCATACACTCACATGTAACTCTTTTTCAGGACTGAGTCTGCTCTCCAGGAACCTGAGCTTGGCAGGTGAGTGTCTTTCCAGCCATCTTACTTTATAAATCTTCAGAGGGAATGGAGGGTCATCTCTGAAGGAAAGAGATGGAGAAAAGCTGTAACAGGCTGCTGCTGCTGTTGCCTAAAAGGTTCTGAATGTGAGATCATGAATCTGAGTGGAATGTACTCAGCCCAAACAGCTGTTTTTGTTTGTTTGCTTTGTTTTCAGGAGGCTCCAATAAGCCCATGCTCAGAGCTACACCAAAGAATGTGGTAGCCATTGGGGAGCAAGTAACTATAATTTGTGAAGACTCACCAGATGCCCTGGAAATATCTCTCTATAAAGAAGGAAACCCAGATTCCCAGAAACTAACAATTCATGGAGACACTGATGAAAAGGTGTTTTTTGTCTCATCCGTTGAAAGTCACAATGCAGGCCAATATTGGTGTCACTATACTGGCCCTCATGGTGAACAAGAAGACAGTGACACCCTGGAGATTGTTGTGACAGGTGAGAGGACCATTCTTCCACCATCGGGCTGTTTTGTGGGAAGGAGTATATTGACTCTCTCATATTCCAGAAGAGAGGTATTGATATGGCCCAGACATCAACTAAACAGGATTCCTCTTCTCTCCTAGGAGTCTACACCAGGAAACTCAGACTTTCATCGAAGCTCAGCTCTGTGGTGGACTCAGGGGTTGCTCTGACACTTCAGTGCTCCTCACAAGAAAAATATGACAGCTTCATTCTGATGAAGGAAGATGTGAAATTCTCCAGTCCTGTAGCCTCACAGAACACAAACACTGGTCTATTCCAGGCCCAGTTCCATGTGCCTCCTGTGACCTCCAACCAAAGATGGAGGTTCACATGCTATGGCTATTACCAGAACAGCTCCTATCTGTGGTCAGTACCCAGTAACCACCTAGAACTGGTGATCTCAGGTAAGGAAGCTCTAGACTTTCCTTTGCATGATAATCCATCTGACACAGGATCATCACAGGGAAGGACCTGATATGTGGATGGTTAATGAACCCATGATCCTGAACTCAATGTCACCTCGTGTGAAAAATAGCTGGAATGCAGTGTAAAAACTACTATGGACAATAAAAATGAAAGCCAAGAGGTTCAGGGAATAAGGGATCTATATGTGTCTGGTTTTGCAGGGCAGATTACATATCATTTGCAAGGTTGAATTTCTCTGTAGACTCACAATATTTGTATACTGGGCAGTCATCAGCCTTGTTTCACAAGGGTCATATTACATCTACTCAAAGATGGAGGTGTAGAAGCTATGACTATTATAAAAGCAATCTTCAAGTGTGGTCAGAATAGAGACAGCTTTTGCAGCTTCTAGTCTCAGGTAAAGAAGACTCAGATTCTCTCTTGACTGATAGTGAACCTGACACACATTCAACAGTGAAAGGTATAGGAGTCTGGGTTCCAGAACCCATTGGCACAGCATGTGTCCTGTAGCATCAAAAATCAAGAACCAAAGGCTGAATTTGGAGAGAATGGAAGCACAGATGGTCAGGGGTGTGGTAGGTCTTCCCATAACACTACTGATTTTTTTATTTTGCATTTCAGGAATAAAGTTTAAGTTCAGCTGCAAGTTGACATTCAGTATAACTGTTCAAAAGTGCCAACGCCTTCTCTCTTATTCTTTGTAGGAAGACTTCAGAAGCCCACCCTGAGAGCTGATCCAAGCTCTATGATTAGCAGAGGGAATTCTGTGACTATCTGGTGCAAGGGAACTAGGCAAACCCAGATATACTTCCTGCATAAAGAAGGAACCCCAGATCCCTTGAAGCAACAGATTCCTCAGGGGATCCCTGACAGTGTCAAGTTCTCCATCACATCAGTTGAGAGGCATCATGCAGGGCTATATCGCTGCTACTGTTACAACTCTGCTGGGTGGTCAGAACGCAGTGAGGCCCTGGAGCTGATGGTGACAGGTGAGAGGACTCATTCCCAATCCATGCATCTGGCTCGATCAAAGGAATATGTTCACTTTGCATTCCATTTCTCAAATTGCAAACAAAGGGGCAATGTATACCAAAATGAGTGTACTGAACAAGCCTCCTCTTCTCACCTAGGAGTCTACACAAGCAAAGTCTCCTTGTCAGCCCAGCCCAGCCCTGTGGTGACCTCAGGAGGGTCTGTGACACTTCAGTGCTCCTCACAAGAGAAATATAACAGGTTCATTTTAATGAAGGATGGACAGAAATTCATCTCGGATTTACCCTCAAGGAATACATACACTGTTGTATCCCAGGCCCTGTTCATAGTGGGTCCTGTAACCCCAAACCAGAGATGGAAGTTCATATGCTATGGCTATTATGTGGACAACTCTCAGACATGGTCAGTACCAAGTAACTATCTAGAACTCCTGGTTTCAGGTAAGGCAACCCTAACCTTTCCTTTGAATGGTAATTTCCTTGACACAGGATTGCAGGAAAGGATGAGATACATGCTGGGTTAATGAACTCAAGATCCTGAGTCCAATTTCAGAGAATGTGGGACACAACAGCATCTGAGGTGCAGAAACAAAAGTGGATAATAACAATGGAACTCAAGAGTCCATGGAAACATTGTCTTTGTGTGTCCTGTCTTTGCCAATCAGCCTAAGTGTGATTTGCTTGTGTAACTTTATGCAAATATCTAAAGAGATACATCTCATTTCCTCTAGTTTAGATTGCTCCATGTGTCCTTCTCTTATTGCAGGGTCAACTCTAACTCTTACATTCACTGTACAGTTCTTTAAAGTCCCACATCCCTCTCACATACTTCTTTGCAGGGACCCTAAGCCACTCTCTGTGATGAGATTAGGGAAACCTGTGACAATGTGCTTTGAGGGAAACATGGAAACCCAAAATTACTTCCTAAATAAAGAAGGAAGCATAGCTCACTGGGACAGACTAACTGCACTTCTGCCATACCACAAGGACAAGTTTCTCATCTCATTCATAACAGAGGATCATACAGGGTGATGTTGCTATTAGTGGTATAACTCTGCTGGGTGGACTCAGAACAGTGGTTTCTTAAGTTGTGGGTGATAGGTGAGTGGACCCTAAGGGTCACATCCTTCAGCTTTTTCTATTGAGGGCCTCTGAATTCTCCGCTGTTGTCAGTGAAATGACCCACAGGAGGTTATAAGGAAAACGCAGTTCAAGCTGGCATAACATTTACTTGTTCTCACTTTTATAAGTCTGACAGGAAGTGTTTTATAGGAAGCATATTAAAACACAGTATACTTTTGGAAAAAATTAATGGTGTAATGGAAAATCATCTGAAAAATTAAGTATATCAAAACTTAACTCAAATACATGTGACCATAAAGATGAGTTTTATATGTTAAGGGCTTTTGGTCTGGTATAGTCTTTGAGAGAGGTTGTAAAGATGTTAGTAGTCAATAAATTACATGTGACATTTTTCCTATGGATGGGCTTCATTAACTGAAAGCAAGTAATAAAATCTAGGGAGGGAGAGTCTAGGATAAACGCTCTGACGTTTTTAGGTGAGGTCTGGCTCTACAAATAGAAAGGTACGTGGTTATTCACAACATCCACTTCTAGTTTTCTTGGTGGAAAAAAGATAATTATTTTTTCATTGGGCAGACACCATACATGGGTAACATTCCTGATTTCTCCAATTTTCCCTCAGGAAATACATCTCCTAAACATTTTCACCCAGAGCCCAGTTGCTAAAGCCAATGTATCACACAACAGGCTGCCTCCTCTTTATTGTAGGTGTCTACCAGGGTAAACCTAATCTGTCAGCCTTGCCCAGCCCTGTGGTGATGCCAGGTGGGAAAGTGACCCTACAGTGTGTCTCATCAAAGCCATTTGATTGCTTGGTTATAACTGGGGAAGATCAGAATTTCTCCAGCTCACCCAATGCACAGTGCATTCACACTGGACAGTCCAAGACTCTGTTTCTCAACATCTCTGTGACATCCAATATGCGTGGACCTTTTAGATGTTATGGATACTACAAAAGTAGCCCATACATCTGGTCAGAGGCCAGTAACACTCTGGAGATATATGTCTCAGGTAAGGAACTCTCATACACTTAACTTTTTTGTTGAACTGATAACCCTTTATACCTAACTTTATTTCCCTGAGAATGGATTCAGTCATGAAGGCTGAGGTACCTCTTGACTGCTATGATACAGAATATGAGAGAGCATGACACTGTCAGAGCATGGCAGGAAGGGACATTGCTCTATTTAGTATTATATTATTAAAATGAAATGCCATGACAAACAACAAGTCGTAAAGGACAAGATTTGTCTTACACTTCCAAAGCACTATTATCCTCAAAGGAAATCATGGAAGGAACTCAAACAGATCAGAAACCTGAGGCAGGTGTTGGTGCAGAAACCCTGGAGGGGAGCTAATTACTGACTTGCAACTACAGTGATGGTACCACACACAAAATGGAATGTGCCTTCACCCACCAATTTCTAATTAACAAAATACCACACATGATTGTGTGCAGGGTAAACCCTTTTTAAAAAATAAATTGTTATTTAAATTAAAAGCAATCTTATTTTACATACCAACTCCAATTCCCTCTTCCTGCTGTCCTCCCATGTCCCTACCAAAACCTCACCTCACCCCATCCACTCCCCAAGGAGGGTGAAGTTTTCCATGTGGGATCATCAAATTCTGACCCATCATTTGGCATGTGAACGAGACCCTACCCATATATCTAGGATGAGAGAGTATCCCTCCATAGGGAATGGGACCGAAAAGCCCATACCTGCACTAGAGATAAAGATTGGTTTCAATGCCAGTGGCCCCATAGTCTGCCCAGTGTCTGGAGACAATGTATCATTTAAGAGGCTGCATTCTTTTTTGTTGTTGTTGTTTTTTGTTTGTTTGTTTTTATTATTTATTTTTAAGTTTAAATTTAGATTAGAAACAAGGTTGCTTCACAAATCAGTTCCAGGTCCCTCTCCCTTTCCCCCCCCTCCTCCCTTGCCCTCACCACAACCCCCACATTATCCCCTCATTTCCCCATGGAGGGTGAGGCCCTCCATGGGGGTGTCCATAGTCGGTCATTTCATCCAGGGCAGGGCCTAGACCCTCCCCCAAGAGTTCAGGGTGAGAGTGCATCTCACATTGTTGGATGGGAGTCCAAAGTCCATGTGTATACTCGGAATGAATACTGGTCTACTGCCCAAGGCTCAATAGATTACCTAGGCCTTCTCACTGACACCCACATTCAGGGGGTCTTGATCAGTCCGTTTCTGGGTTACCAGGCATCAGCCTGGGATTCAAGAGTTAACCCTTGTCAGGTCAGCTGTTTCTGGGGGTTAAACCAGCCCAGTCTTAATCCCTTTGGTCATCAGTCCTTCCTCTCTATCCCTGGCTTTCTTGAGTTCAGCTCAGTGCTTAGCTGTGAGAGTCTGCCTCTTCTTCCATCAGCCGCTGAATGAAGTTTCTGTTTCCCAGACTCTCTGGCCATGGGAGTGTAGGCTGGCACTCCCCAGATCTATGTCTAAAATCCATATATTAGAGAGTACGTGCCATGTTTCTCTTTTTGTGACTGGGTTACCTCACTCAGGATGGTTTCTTCTAGTGCCATCCATTTGCCTGCGAATTTCAGGATTCCATTGTTTTTTTCTGCTGAATAGTACTCCATTGTGTAAATGTACCACATTTTCTCTATCCACTCTTCGGTTGAGGGGCATCAAGGTTGCTTCCAAGTTCTGGCTATTACAAATAATGCTGCTATGAACATAGTGCAAAAGACATCCTTGTTGTATGAATGGGCATCTTTTGGATATATGCCTAAGAGTGGAGTTGCTGGGTCTTATGGTAGGCTTATTCACATTTTTCTGAGGAATCTCCATACTGATTTCCAAAGTGGCTGAACTACTTGGCACTCCCACCAGCAGTGGAGGAGTGTTCCACTTTCACCACATCCTCTCCAGCATAAATTGTCTTTGGTGCTTTTGATTTTAGCTATTCTGAAATGAGTGAGATGGCATCTCAGAGTTCTTTTGATTTGCATTTCCCGGATGGCTAAGGATGGTGAGCACCTTCTCAAGTGCCTCTCAGAAGAGGCTGCATTCTATTTTCTTGTGTGTCCACCATAGTAAACCTAATCTGTCTTCCTTGCCCAACCCTGGGCTGACATCCAGTGGGAATGTGACCCTCCCATTTGTCTCCTCAAACCATATGTTCGGTTGCTTTTGACTGGTGAAGATCACAATTTTTCCAGGTCTCCCATAGCACAGTATATATACTCTGCACAATCCCTAGGTCTGTGTCATGAGATCCCTGTGGCTTCCACAAATGGCGGGCCACATATCTGGACAGAGGACAGTATCCTTTGGAGACACATGTTTCAGGTCATAAAGTCTCATTCTCTGAACTGTGTATTGACACTAGAACCCTTTGTCACTAACTTTGATGGCAGATATAGTGGTTCAAGTTATGATGATGACAGAAGGGAGTTCTATGACTCAGGATATGAGAGAACATGGCACTGTTATAGCAAGATAGGAGGGACATTTGTCTTAGAGTATCTCTTGTTGAAATGCAACACCCTGACAAAAGGCATGTTGTGGAGGAGAAGATGAATTTGGCTTATACATTCACAGTTCTGTTAATCCAAAAGGGAAGTCAGGACTGGAAATGTAACATGACAGAAACCTGGAGGCAGGAGTTGATGCAGAAGCTCTGGATGTATAATGCTCAATGGCTTCTTCTCATGGCTTTGTCAGCCTGCTTTCTTATAGAACTCAGAACCAACACTACAGGGATGGTACAACTCGCATTGTGTGAGGCTCTCCCTTCACCCCACAGCGTCTGAGGACAGAGACTAGAAATCTGTTGCAGGATTAGTTCAGGGATTCAATTTAAATATGGTTATATGGAATCTATTGCGAGAGGGTCACATGTAAAAGCCCCTCACTTTTATGATTCTCAATTTATACAGGAATTCATCAAGAGCCCTGCCCTAGATGTTAAGTTCCCTTTAGTTCTGATCTTATCTGTGTTTTCCTCATACAGAGAATGTTTCCAGAAACCACTTCTGCAATTGCCCTTCTCTTTCTCACACTGTGATGCTGACAGTGTGTAGGGTATGCAACAGGGCCAGGGCAAGACATTCTGGCTCCTTCTTTGCAATTCATGCAGTTTAGTTCCAGAGTAGGCATTCAAGGCTGAAGGGTGGACTTATTGGGTTAAAATTCTTCAGTGTTATTTCCTGCTACATTGCCAGAAGGTAAAGTGCCTAGGAGTGATGTGAGTCAGTCTCATATTGTGTGGCTTTATGGAAAAGAGGTAGCAAATATAAAACTCGGTATGGGCCTCACACACAATTCCTCACTCATGAATTAGCTTCCATGTGGCCATGCTCCAGACTGAGCATGAAGCATAGTTTGGCTTTCTTAGATAATCATTGGAAATGGGAGATGATTTTCTTCACCAATCTTTAGTTCTCAGTGCTGATGAGAATTTCATGCTCAAGTATCATACCCGAGTATGACCTCAAAAAGGTGGATGTGTTTGAAGAATCCAATAAAAGACTACAAGTAATCATGGTAAAACAGGAAAATGGCTTATACTGCACCCTATCAAGTTATGTGATTAATCCAATATGTAAATATATGAAACAAAATCTTCAGGAAACAGGAACCTTAGCATAGACACTGTGTTCTGATATAAATTACATTAATTGTGCAGTTGCACTTAGGGTCTGCTGAGCACATCACTGGATCACAAAACATGTTCAAATGAAAGGCATGTGATTAAGAAGCATTACCAGTGATACAGCAACTCATTTGAGTTTGTTCTTCCCTGCCTTCTTTGTCCACAGCACCAGCACCAGAGACCAAGAGTGATCATACAGTGGAGAATCTCCTGAGGATAGGGATGGCCAGTTTGGTACTTATAGTCCTCGGAATACTGGTGTTTGAGTCTTGTCATGGCTCTAGACATGTTCATCACGCAAAAGGAATGGGAATGGGGGATACAGCAATGCATCCTATGTAGTGTCATGGGCTAGACAATAAATATGAGAATTCTGGGTAGTTTTGTAAGAAAATACAGTGCTCATCTTGGATAACTACTGTAGAAAACATATTTGGAATAAGCATTAATTGAGTAAAGGGAAATGCCTGGATATTGGGTGGAAAACTCTTCATGCATACAATTGAATTTATTCCCTTACATCTTTCTGTGGACATTTCCTGAGGAGATCTTCATTCCTACTCACCTGCACCATTGACCAGGGTTGGGCCCTCATATTTGTACATATTCTGCTTTGTCTTATTATCATGTAAAACTTTGTATTATTTTAAATTACAATGTTCTTGCCCACATTCTGAATTTCCATTTTTTTCTTCTGAGAAAATACTGGTTGAATCAATTTCAGTAAAGATCAGTTGAAATAATACTCCAGTATTTAAATAAGTAACTTAATTCAAATGATGGTCTGAACTTCTTTTTAGTACCCAAGGGACCTGCAGTCTTCACCAAATGTCAATTTTGTGATTTCCCTTAATATGGAAAGGATTGCCACTGTAAAACAAATGTTAGAATGAATTCACTGGTAGAACAATTTGAAAGGGCTTTCGAATTTTTTTTAAAAGTAATGATGTGAAATAATTTGTAATTACTCTCTGCATTCCCTTTATCTACATTATAAAAGCACCTATTTATTATAGGTAGATGTGGGAGTGAATGTCATATGTTGTGTGTGAAAATGACATGGCATTCCTGTGAGTCTGAGTAGTCAAATTTCTCATTCTACCATGTGGGACCCCTGACTCAATTCTAGGTCATCAGACATGGCAGTAACCTCTTTTATCCACAAAGATGTCTTTTGGATAAATGTCCTTAATGACAATGTAATATCACATGTATGATGTTCAGAAGGATTTACAAAGCTGGCAATACAGTAGAGGTACTTCCTGTATCCCTGTGCTCACAGAAGGTCATTCAGAGCCCCACTGGACTGATATGCATTTGGAGATGGACCTTAGACTTCCCCATTGGTAAAAACAATTCTTTACACCTCTGAATGTATGTCCTCAAAGCACTATCTATCCAAAATCATCACATACATCTCAGCAGCACATGGGGCTTGGTAACAACATCAAATTTATATCTTTGTGCTGAGAAGATGGATCCATTCACCTATCTCTTTCAAGACATTATTCCAAGTGCACTCAAGCCACAGAAGCTGTAATCTCCACCAACAAACTAGAATTCAGTCGTTCCACCCAATATCATTGAACACTGACAATTTCCATGAAGGTCAAGTGATGTGGAAGTCCGGTGTATATGTCAAAAAAGCACTGTTGGCCAATAAGGAAGAAGATAGGTGGGACTAGGAGTCCAGGAGGATTCTGGGAAGGAGAAACACAGGGAGTCATGATGTAGCCCTCCAGAGAAATAAGATGTCTGGAACTTTGCTCCAGTAAGAGAAATATTTAGATTAGCAATTATGGGGTAAATACTTAAGTCAGAGCTAGCCAGGAAGAAATAAATAAGGTCAACACCTTCATAATTAATACAGTATCTTGTGTGTTATGTGGGGACTACAATGAGGCAGAGCACAGGTGACTTGCAAGTTGCTGACAAGGAAAAAACTTTTTTTTTACATAATGGTATCAGAAGTGGGATTGAATTTCAATTTAGAACTACAAAAGTTTTAAAGGAATTTTAGAAACAAAAGAATGGAGAAAAGCATGGGTTTTTGGTAGCAGCATTTTCTCAGGTGGGCTGTGTTTTGCTATCGATAAGCAGAGACTCTCACGGCTCAGTTAAGGGAATCTTCCTGACTCAGCACACACACACACACACACACACACACACACACACACACACACACACACACACACAAACCCAGCAAGGTTCTTCTAAGAGACTCTGCTAATGATTGAAAGGTATGCACATACAGATAGAAGTGGCAGTGACCACATCACCAAGCCAGCAGCTTTTGCTGGATGTCACCATAGACTGAGACAATGAGCTAGAGTCATGCTTATGCCTGCCATCATGGAAAAGCGACAGCATAAACAGCCATGGTTTTAACAGATAAGACACGTGGCCAGAAAAACATAAAGATTTACAGTAATATCAGACTTGGATGAAGAAAAACATGTAAAGGTTTATAGTGTGTTTAAAAATATACATAGGATTGAGAGAGAAAAAAATGGCATAGTGGTAAATAGAGAAGCTGGCTCTGGTGGCGCAAGCTGATAGGATTTGCTGCAGAAGCAGAGGCAGGCAGATTTCCAAAGAGAAACTCTTTCTCAGAGAAATAAATAAAGAAATAAAAGTAAAAGAAATAGAGTAATAATAATAGATAAATAAATAAGCCATGTAAAGATGGAAAATACACAGAGAGTCTGGATACTGTATGCTATTGTGTTTTTCAGTTTTTTCATTGCTCAGGAAGGAACAACTGCTAAAGTACACATGATTATAAATGCTGCTGAATTAATTCAACTTATGTCTTTTGAAAATGCCTTGACTTCAAAATCTAAGTATAAGCATATGTTACTTTGGAAAAGTTTTTGTTTATGTTTTTACAGAAAATGAATAGCTGAGGATACTTTCCAGGCATCTGTGGTTTGATGAACCAAGACCCCCAGAAACAGTGGGTCAAGTGTTCCAACTATTAAAACAGCTAAGATGATGCACACTTACAGACCCCAAAAATAAGCACTTATACAGGTTTCTGAGTTGTGTCATGATCCCCATAGTGTGAACAGCGCCCCCTTCCAGCACGAAGCAGTTTGGAAGGAGCGACGTCCAAATCTGCATATTGTTTGTAAATCTTTGTTTTCATTTGAACGGGGTTGCTTATAATTGGCTAATGATCACAACCAATCTCTTTTTAAAGAAAAAAGGGGATTATGGTATGGAAATGAGTACCTTGTATTGGTTATGGTTATTCATTTATTGATACAAATTCAAGGTCAATTTTGTGATGTGTATATTTCTCTTCTTGATTAAGTATTGCGTTTATACTGATCTTTTAAAATGTAATATATAGTTAAATACAGACTATAGATAGTTACTTATAATAGTAAGAAATTGTAGTTAGGTAAATTAGGTTTTCTAGATATACAGAAATATATTTGAGATTGATATATAGTCTTCAAACCTTTCAAAGGCCTTCAGAAAATGGCATTTAAAATGGTTTAGGGTTTTTCTTGACAATGAGAAATGTCTGCTTCCTGAGAGGAAGATGGGCATCAAAGAAACTCGTTATGGAGCTTGCTTTCACCATGGCAATATTAGCCATTTGGGCAACTGCTATTGTCTAGATTGTTTGACTGTTGCTGTATAAACTGGATATGCAGGTAAGTGACTGCTGAACTCAAATAGTCCTTCAGGTTTCTTGCTTCATGAAGAGTTTACAAGACTTTCTGCAGGACACAGAGAAATGACTGACAGACTGCTGATGCAGATGGACAGTTTGAAATTTCCTACTTTGCTGAGAAGTCTTCTGAACACATTTTGGCCTATGGGCTGAAGATGGATGCCCAAATGTACAGAGGATCATCGTGGGACTGTCCAGGCAGTAAGATGTCTCTGTCAATCCAAGTATTTATATATTATCCTTCTGTGGTCTTTGATAGAGTTGAAGGCGGATAGTTATAATTATAGTTTTCCTTAGTTATGATAAAAGATAAGCTACATACAGAACTTTGGACTCATAAGGATGAGATGGATGATATTTTCTTTAAATCTTGCTAAATGTTGATAGACAAAATATTGTAACTGTGTTCTTACTTGATAACTGTTCTGTTACATGTAATTTGACTATGTTAAAATTAAGACCTTTCTTTTGTTTAGACAGAAAAGAGGAGATGATGTGGAAGCCCTGTGTATATGACAAAAATGCACTGTTGGCCAATAAGGAAGAAGATAGGTGGGACTAGGATTCCAGGAGGATTCTTGGTAGGAGAAACACAGGGAGTCACGATGTAGCCTGCCAGAAAAATAAGATGTGCAGAACTTTGCTCCATTAAGAGAAGTACTTAGATTAACAATTATGGGGTAAATACTTAAATCAGAGCTAGCCAGTCAGAAACAAGCAAGGCCAACAGCTTCATAATTAATACAGCATCTTGTGTGTTATTTGGGGACTACAACGCGGCAGAACACAGGAGACTGGCAAGCTGCTGACAAGGCAAAAGCTTCTCTTTACAGTCAGGGTGCCTCATGCTCATAGTCTTTGTTCCCACAGATCACCTCAGAAGAAAACATGCATGTAAAATATAAAATGGTGTATTTTATTATAATATTTTCAAGAAAGTAGGTGGTGTGTGTGTGTGAGACAATGATAATTATAGAAGTTGGCATGAATTTGTAAGTGAGTGAGAGGAGCATAGGAGTAATTGCAGGGAGAGGGAGGGGAAGTGGTAGAAATGGTATAATTACAGTACTCATAGGGAAAATTCTCAAAAAAGAAAATTTAATTTAGTGACATTGTTTTCATCATTTTACATTATGTTATATATTTTCTTGTTAAACGAAACTTAAAATTTATACAAGCATGCATTATGATGTCAGATATATGTATTACTAAATAGTAATGATTCACTTTTCACATTTCTGTTTGTTATTTGAGAATGTTGCATCATGTACTTATTTCGTTCATGTTCTTCCTTCTCCATCATGACATCCCAGATACTAATTCTATTCTATAATCACAAAACTCCATGTTCTTATTAATTAAAACGGTATTTTAGACTGAGTGCTTCAAAACCCCTCACATTCTTTGTCACAATCAGCAGTAGATCTCTGTTATTTCCCATCTACTGCAAGACAAAGCTTTTCTTGCTTAAGCAGTGATTTAATGGTATGTCAGTGTCACTGTATTTATTTAGTTCTTTAACTCCTTGATCTCAGTGGTTCTCAGCATTCCTCATGATGTGATACTTTGTTGCTTACGTTGAGGTGACTCCAAACCACAAGAATATTTTTGGTACTACTTCATGACTATAACTTTGCTACTGTTATGAATTATGAGGTGAAATTTTTAGAGGCATTTGTTAAAGGAGAGGTTAGCTAAACCTCCACAATGGAAAATGTAGTTTAATAGACTTGGTACAATAATATCTCTATACTCAGTTGCTTGAACATTTTAGCACTATCAGGTATAGCCCTGACCAAGAGCGTTTGACCAACAGAAAATGGTTCTGATACATATTCCTGCTCAGTCTGGAGCATGGCTACATGAAAGCTAATTCATAAGTGAGGAATTGTGTGTAAGGCCCATACTGAGTGTTTGTATTCACTACCTGTTTCCCTAAAAATCATGCAATGTGAGACTGACTCCCATCAATCCTAGGCCTTTA